AGTAAAACACCCCTACGATATTTTTTCTTCTTCAGTTTAGCCAAAACCACTCGAAATCTCTCAATCCCTCCTTTACTCTCACAGTGAAATGATTTGATCCATTTTAAGTGTTCCTCAGATGGGTTTTACCTCAAAACCATCAGCTCTACTGTTTTGGGCTTATTTTTCTTTGCAAATCTTGTCGAATCTGCTCCTGATATTCTGCCTGGGTTTATAAGGGCTGTGCAAAGCAAGTTTTTCAAGATCCAACGGAGTTTACTCTCGGCTCTTGCAGCTCTCTTTGGTTCCTTGGTTTCACGCCTCTAGAAGCCAAGTTTTCAAGACATTTGGTAGTGGCCAGACCTCATAATGGTCTCTTTCAATGGCAGAGGTGACCTGAGCAACAGTGACTGTTACAGCTGTGTGAGCAAGCTCCCAACTTTATCAGACAGGCTGTGTGGCAAAAACTGTTGCTGCTAGAGTTCAACTTCTGGGTGCTATATGCTTTATGAAGTAATGGGTTTACTCAGGTTTCAGGGATGGAATGTTGTACAAGACTTGTGGGGCAACAAATGTGAGGGGCAGTGGTTTGAGAGAGAGAGATGCAGCTCTTCAAGTGATGGAGAATGGGGGGTAACTGGCCATGGATTTTATATGTAGCTATCAATCTGTGGTTGTTGGCTCAATGTCAAGGTGACGGGAGATCAGATTGTGGTGAGTGTGACAACTGCTGTGCAGAAAGGTCAAGTTGAGTGTGGGAGCTCATTTCAGGCCAAATTTATCTCATCAGTGCTTTATTAGTTATAGTTATTATCCAATGGAGTCCCCAGGACGACAATCTCTTCTTCTCTTCATCATCATCCTCTTCTTCAGATTCATCAGGTAAAACTAGAGAAAATGATCTTAATGGGGCTTTTTTCAGTGCAATTGTGTCATGAAATATTTGGTATATTCTTATGTGTTTGATGATGTAGGGCCAGGGCCAACACAGGAAAGACGTGGCTATATATTAGGAGGGCAGCAGGAGTTGGATTTGTAGTTATTTGTTTGATGTTTGCTAGAAATTTGCTGAAGAAAAACATGATGGTATGCACATTTTTCAGTTATATTCATCTATTATGCATTCTATTGATGAAAATTTAGGTGCGTTATTGTTGCTTACATGTTTGAATCTACTATTTTCTGCAGATTATGAGGAAATAGGTTGTTCTAAAGAGGCAGAGAGAGAGAGAGAGAGAGAGGAGAGTTCTTTTCGGGGGACTGTTCTATATTGGTTCTTCTTTACTGATGGTTTTTTTTTTGTAATGCATAGAATTGATAAAGAAAAGAGAAAAAAAGGACGGGAAAATGTGGGGTTTTGATGTTCGTTTTGATGAAAAAGTAACATAGGGTATCAAGTTTATAACATGAATTTTTCATAAGGTGAAAAGAGGATATGAGGAGAATGAATGTTTGTCATTTTGATTTTGGGCCTTTTTTTTAATCTTCAAAGCCATGTGGGTGTCAATTAAAATTTATTTGTCTTCTTTCTTTTTTATTTATTTTTCACTTCTCCAGACTGCACTGCCCATTTGCTTCATTTTCTTCACTACTTTATGCTTTTTAGAAGTAGAACAGCCTATCTCCTCCCACAAACACAAACTGGATGTTGACTGAATTATTTTAATTTTCTACATTGACATTTAAAATTAGAATTTTTACAGTGATAAACTTATTCACAGAGTTTGATGAACATTTATTAATTTACCAAGATTGAGACTTGTATGGTAAACTTTAGGACCAGAAACTTTCACTTTACTCTTTATCAGCAGACTACTAACTCCTCCTGCATATCAATCTTGAAATAGAATTCTTTGGGTAATGTGACCTTTTTTTCTGGGCCGAAGATGATTGACTTAATAATTGAAGGATTGTTTCAACAAAAAATCACACATGGTAAAACACTGAGAGTCTGTAAATTCTTTCCCTTTTACTTCAACTGGGAAAGGGGATATTATATTTTGCTGCCGCTACCCCAAGTTCAAATCCCAGTCAAAGATCATCAGCTAGCTGCAATCAACAAAATTTGGCAGCAAGCTAACGAATACATTTTTGTTTTTTGTGTGCTTTCACGCGCGTTTGTGGGTCTCTACATTGGTCCTTTGTCGTAACAGTATGCTCTTTTACAGGAAAAAATGGGTAAAACTCTTTTTTAAACCAGTTTGCTTATAAAGGAAGTGGTTATAATCTAGTGACAGGAGACTATTAGGATTGTTACAATCCGTCCCTTGAACCAGTATGCACAATGGCTCGATATAACCAAATGTAGGATATACCGATTAGCAGGACTTTGTCCTTGACATCATGTGGTCGCCGATACGCCATCTTATACGAGTGTCAAGCTAATGAGGTTTATCCAGATGGTGAATAAAACTCACCCTTTGAAATCGGGATTAGATGTCAAAGGAAATTAGTAATTAGATGTAATATTAAAAATAAAAAAAAAAATAAAATAAGTATGAAGTGAGAATCTACTCACACGGGTGGTTTTTCCATTGATAAGTGAAAGCTATACCATGTTCTTTCTTTAAGTGTTTACAAAGGAGTCAACAGCCACTCCCATCTCATTCATGAAACTTGATGTATTTGCATCATTGTTTTAAAACCGGCCAGCCCGGCCGGTTTAACTGGTTGAATCGGGACCGAAAGCTTCAACGGTCGGGTTTATGTTTTTCCTACTCACCCAACACCCTAAGATTTGGGAGGATGACCAGCGAACATTGCCGGTCAGGATGTTAGGGCTTTTAAAGAGGAAGCCGTGACTGCAATGGTGGTGACAACATTGATTTTCGATGAGTAAATCGATCGAAAATCGAATAAAACTGGCAGCGGCAACAACCGGCTTTTGCCGGCATTGACGAGGCTAACGGGGTGGTGGAGGGTGGGTTTGGTCGGGAGGAAGAAGGAGTAATATTCGGGTGATGGGGAGGGTTGTCGACGCCGACGTCAATGAGATTGGCCTAGATGCGACACAGCTCGTGTGAGATTTGACCGAAATCGAACCCATTTCAACCAGATCTTGGGTATTTTAAGGGGAATGGGCTCAATGGATGATTGAGGTTGCATCTGAGGTGTCGCCGTCGCCGTCGCCAACAGTAGTCGACCGATTTGTATTTGAGTGTTGCTAAATTTTAAACCTATAGGGATGTAACTGTAATTTTTAGGGGTGGATTTGCTGAATTTTAAAAAGTTTTGTCAACCAATTTGACTGCCGGTTAAACCGGTCAACTTGAGACCCGACAACTTTGCCTGGTTCGCCTCGGTGGGTTTAAAAAAAAGCTTATAAATTGTTCATTTATGATGCTAAAATTAGAACAGAACATCCCTGAGACAATTTTGTAGCAAACCGACAGATGTACTGGCATATCATGTGCCATGTGAAAGTCGGCCTCACTTTTTGTAATGAAATTTCCTAATTTTCTTTCATTTCATAATACTTGCTTTTGAAATGAAATTCTGAACGTGGCCGTCCTAAGCCTAAAAACTAGAATTAAAGTGGCTTCTTTGAAGTCCAGGCCCTATTTTAACAGGACTTAGTAATTGCTTGCAATTTTGACTAAGAAAAATTTAAATATATAATAGTGCAATATTGATTTATGGTAACTAATCTCAATCATTATTTAATATAGGAAAAGTGCATTAATCATTACAGAACTATTTCTGAGGATATAATAATATATCTTACATCTAACAAAGTGTCAGACCAGTTGTACACATTTCAACTATCATCGAGATCTATTGAACACTCTACAAATCCAAAGAAATCGCAGTATTATTAGGTTTTAATGCCAATATTAATACCAACACATAGCTAGCTTTAATCAGGGGTCTTTTTTTTTTTAGCATTAAAAGTGTTGCTTATAAAAATAATTGAAAGACGCTTATATATATATATATATATTATATATATATATATATATATATCTATAAGATATGTTCTCTTAACAAATACTTCAACATTTTATATTAATTTAAAGTTTAAATTAATTTTTTAATAAGTGCTTTTTTCAAGAAATATTTTTAAGCTTTTTTTTTTTTCATCTCCAGAGAAACACAACATATGCCAGCAAAATTAAGAAATGCTCATCCAATGGACCAAATAATAAATAATCATAATTGAGGTAACCTTCCTTAAATAAGAGAGACAATTCTCATAAAAGAAATCCAATAATATTATTTGATATGGACATTATCAAGTCAGTTGAGTTCTTGGCTTCCACATTTAAGGATACAAATTTTTTGAAAAATAAAAATTAAAAAATCTGAGCTAAAACATAGCATTTAAGTTCAATGAGATATTATTCCCCAATATTAAACATTTAAATTATTATTTATTTAAAAAATGAAGTCCCGGTATCCTTGCAAATGGATAATATACAGTTGAAGTAACGTTCCACTTATTTTCGGGGTTTTCGAAGAACATATAGTCGTTCCCATGTGGCAAGTTTTGGATGGTGCGCTCGATACAAGAGCTTGACAGTTGTTTACAGTATTCAAATCAATCAACTTATTTTTCAGAGTTCAGACCCTCCACCAATAATCCTTCGACAGCTACTATCTCCCAGGTAGCATGTGGTCCCTTCCAGCTGTCATATAGTTATACTCTCTTATGTTCCTCTGGGCCGGGCCTTTAAACTTGGGCCCTAGTCGGCCCATTTCGACTTTATTCTTTTCCCAGTATACTCTCGTTTCACCCCGATAGCTAATTGGCTAGTCCAGACTGGTTTGACTTGGTTGCTCTTCTCCATTTCCATGAAATATATATTTTTTTTACAATCTTTTTACAATATTATTAAAATGCAATTAAAAATGGCTGGTTCTTAGGTTTTTTAAATTTTTTTACGAAAAACTTGTATATATTAAAACCACCCAATGATATTGTATTTTAACGAAATAATAGGCAAGGTTCATGATATTTATTCAATCTTTTAAGGAAAAAAAAAAAATTATAACTAAGAAGAGGTTAATTGAGACCATCAAAGTCACGGTTGCGAATTTGCCAAACTGATTACGGAAATCTATGAAAATCAACAATTTACTCTTCATAATTGAGGTCAAACACCCCAAATTCACTAAGCTTCCCCAAAAATGTCTGCTACTCTTCTTACATGAAAACCGGATGTATTACTTAAGAGGTCTAAATTTGATTCTCCTTCTACTCCCCTCAGTTGCTAATAGGAGTAGTCACTAGAGGGTTTATCCGATCGTTAACATCAAGGTCTGGAGAGATTAGTCGAAGTGCAAGCAAGCTAACCCGGACACTCCCTGTCAAAAAAAAAAAAAAAACTCTTCTTCCATGAAGAGGATAATGGTGATCAATCTTGAGAGATTAAACTACCAAATATCAGCACAATTACAGCTACCATTTAAAAATCTATGGTATCTGTTAACATCTCTCACAATGATCTCCCTCTCCACCACTCTACTAATATACTTAAAACACTCATGACAGTCCCTACAAATCCTCAAATTCTTCACAATCCTCAATGGCTTCCCTGGTGGTGATCCACTCATCAACCCAAATGCCAGCGCCAGTTTCTCACTATGATACCAAAGCCCTTCTCTTTTCTCCTTTTCTTCAACATTGTGCAACATCTCATCCCAAATTGGCACATACCCTAACTTCTCACACTCTTCCACCAACTCTTCTAGCTTGGCGTAAATCTCTTTAACTCTCTCATGCCTTCTATCGCCCGCCAAGAACACATGAACTTTCCCTTTCACTTCAATCCAACTCCTCCCACCTTCCTTCTTCACTCTCCGGTCTTTCATTGTCTTCCTCACTTCTGCAACTTCATCCCACCGTCCTGCACTCGATAACACGTTAGCTGCAATTACATAAGCCGAGTCATCATAAGGGTCTATTTGCAATAACCTCTGTGCCATTTTCCGTGCCATGTCAGCTGCTCCGTGTGCAGCACAAGAAGATAACAATGCCCTCCACACTGCTGCATCGGGTTCAAATGGCATAGCCATTGCAATCCTCTCTGCATCCCCCAATCTTCCAGCTCTTCCTACTGCACGTATTAAGCAGGTGTAGTGTTCTAACCCCGGTTCTAAACCATACTCAACTCTCATTCTCTCCAACCATTTCTCACTCTCAAAATCCAAACCTGCGTTACAAAAAGCCGTTAAAACCGCCAAAAAACTATATTCATCCGGGACAAAACCTCTCGTTTTCAATAAATGAAAAAGCTCAAGCACTGAATTTTTATCTCCTTGCTGTGCGTAACCGGCCATCATAGCATTCCACGCAACGACATTTAATTCACTCAAATTCTCATCAAACACCCTTCTTGCATCAAACACAAGCCCAGCTTTTCCGTATCCGTCAATCAAAGCGGTTCCCACAATCACATTCTTGTCTAAACCCACAACAACGGCATGCCCATGAACCACCCTGCACTGCTCCATCGCCGCCAGCTCAGCCGCCGCGCGCAATGCTCCAGACACGCTGTACATCGTGGACCCCACATCACAGCTCCTCATATCAGCAAACACTGATAAAGAATCCAAACTACGAGAGTTCTGCGCGAAACACACGATCATTGCCGAGTAACAGACCTCGTCTCTGTTTTGAATTTCGTCGAACACCTGTCTGGCATTGTCCGGGGAGCGAAAGCGAGAGTAGAAGTTAACGAGAGCGGAGCCGCAGAAGGGCTTGTTTTGGAGGGAGAGTTTAAGAGAAAGAGTGTGGAGGGAGAGGCCGAAGGAGAAAGCGTGAGGGAGAGAGGCGCAGGTTTTGAAGAGGGAGGCTAAGGTGCGCTGGTTGGGGAGAGTGGGGTGGCGGAGCATGGAGAGGAAGAAGCGGAGAGAGAGAGGAGAGTTGAAGTGGGAAGAGATCAAGGCCGTCCATGAGACGACGTTGGGTGATGGGATTTGGTGGAAGAGACGGACGGAGTAAGAGAGAAGATTAAGGTTTGATTTGGAGTAGAGAGTGATGAGGTTGTTGTAGGAGGAACGGTCTGTGTGGGTGGATTTTAGAACTCTTGCGTGGAGGATTCTTGGATCAGTGTTGGGTTGGTCTAATGGCTGGTTCATGTTCGAGAGACGGTTGAGAGGTCCCCTGCTATGGTGATTCACTGCGCCAGCGAGCTATTATAAAGTTAGCTGTGCCGCTCAAACCCGCTCCATTTGCTATCTACCTGTTAAATTCACAATCATGTTTTTATACAAAATTATTCGTATCTTTTAGATCAACTCAAACATGGAATGGCACACCGAGCTAGCTCAACTCAAATGTATTGCTAATTGATGAAATATGAAATGCCGAAGATATTTATGCTGGAATCCAGTAATTATTGATTTGCATTTATTTGATTGATTACTGTAAAATTTTAATTAAGTCCTTATCATATTTCTTTTATTGTATTATTTCACTGTCTATATTGTATTCAAAGCCACTATATAAATTGGTTGATATACTCATTACAATACATGAAATATACACAAAATACAGTCTTCTATTCTCTCTCTTTTCTGGACATTCTTCAGCACTATTTCTGCTACTTTGTCAAGCTTCCCTCTATTGGCATTCTTCAGCAGTCCTCTATCTCTTTTGCCTTCCTTCTGACCTAAACTCTGACATTGTATCTGTTAGTGCAAAAAATCATTTTGGGCTTGACGAGACCCAACAACGAAATAAACATGTCACGGCCCAAGACCTCAACCCAATCCTGATTGGGCCTATGCTTAAAACACTTTGTGAACTACCCAGTATATGAGTTGGCCTATCCTATAAGTTAAGCTAAACTAGGTTTTAGCCCATTAGCCTGCAACAGTCTATAAATAGGAAATCAGAATCCCATTCTATTTCCTCTTCTACTAAGATTCCAAATCTTACTCAAATTATCAAACTTGATTTGATAAGGTCAATAAATCATATCTCTTTCACGATAGGGATTATCTCCCAAAATAGTTCTTAGTGTCCTACTAAGATTCCAAATCTTATTTAAACTATTAAACTTAATCTGATAAGGTTAAGAAATCATATCTCTTTCATAATAGGGATTATCTCCCAAAACAGGACTTAGTGTCCTACTAAGATTCCAAATCTTATTTAAACTATTAAACTTAATCTGATAAGGTTAAGAAATCATATCTCTTTCATAATAGGGATTATCTCCCAAAATAGGATTTACTGTACTACTAAGAATCCAAATCTTATTTAAACTATTAAACTTAATTTGATAAGGTTAAGAAATCATATTTCTTTCTTGATAGGGATTATCTCCCAAAAAAGAGGACTCAATGTCCTACTATGATTCTAACCCCTTGGGTTCATTATAAAAATAGAGGCTTGCCCTCTCATTAAGGGGGCAATCTCCCATAGTCAATCTACACTACTCAAAACCATCTATTTGCTCCTAAGTTCTTGCTCCTAAGAACCCGATGCCTTCGCTGCAGTCCTAGCCTCCGACAAGACTCCTGGTAATTTTTCATCTCCTTAATTCTTATCAAATAATCTCTTTTAGTCTCGTTGACTTGGGCATCGGAGTGCCTATGGCAAACACCACCTCGGTGTTTTCCGGAAGCTTCACGCTTGCCCTTTCATGTGTGTAGGTCTAGCTAATTGTCAGTGGCCTCAACCTCACGGGATTAGACCCTATTTTCATGACGGTAGATTTTTTGCATCTACAGTTTGGCGCTCACAGTGAGGTCCTGACAATCATCTGCCAATGACGACTTACAACATGGGAGGCGACACGGAACTCCTTTTGACTGACAATGTTAATTAGAAAATCCCATCACGATAAGAATTTTTTTTCTTTATTTTTCTTCGTTTGTTTTATCTATTCACATGCCATATTATATCTATTCGGCATATCGTAATTTATTTTATATTATATCCATTCAGCAGGTAGTATAAACCTTGAAGCTCATATTATTGTTCTAAATTAATAATAGCTTCATATTGTTCTAAATTAATAATAGAATAATAATGTGTCAGAGTTTAAAGTGGTGTTCCTAAACCACTTGATTCATTGACTTTGCTTCAATAATCTCTCTTCTCTAATCCTCTGTTCAGATAAGGCAATAGTTTCTATCTCTAACCTCTCTACACGCGCCTTTTCACTTTAATCATCAAACCACCAGGTGGTCCGCCACCGTCATCAGAGCTTTGCAATGCATTACCTGCCATAAAACCAGTCAATTTGTTCATTCAAGAAGATGTCGCAATACGCTAGCATCTCCAGGACCTCCGCTCCATTAGAAGGTAACTCAAACTCGACCAACCTTGATCCAATCCCAATTCAACTTCATGGAGATTTGCCACCACTTTGAAACCCAAAACCCGTCCACTTATTCTCCTAAAATCGCCCTAACAGGTTTTCCAATCACACAGTTAAATCCTAAAAACACAACAGTAATCCTCTCAAAACACCTAAAGTCATCTACTAAACATGAAGAGAAACCCCCTAAACAAAACCTGCTTAAGTGACGCCAGCCCACTCTTGCCTAGTCTCCTTACCCCAAAACTCCAAACTCGAACCATCGCCCTTTCCCAACCAATACATATCAGCTCAAACCATCTTCACATCACAATCTCTGGCACACCTATCACAAAAGCCCTCACACTCCCTGCTGTTTGTAAACTTTCCACTCCCCCCTGCAACTCAGCACCATTAAACAACACCAATAGTCCACCTAATGATATTTGGGTCTGCACATACAATATCAACGTGCCCATTCGGATCAGCCCAAAAGTGAATCACGTGCCCACTCAACTTCAACTGGTTCAGCTCTGACATAGAAAGTAACACCTCGCTTTCCACTCGGTCCAACAAACATGGGTGGCAACACTTGAAGGGGAAAGGTATGTGTCATTATCTCCTTTTAACTACCACTCTATTTGGTTAAATCTTTCTCTATTCGGCCCACTACTTAAATACATGCAACCCATTTTTCATTTAGCTCACTCTTCATTAAGTCCATAACACATGCACATCATGCATATTGACTCTCCATTCGACTCTTTGCTTAAAACATGCATGCCATGCATGTCATTGCTCCAGCTTCAATCAAATGTTTTCAACTACAAAGTCGGTCACGCCGATTGGGCCACATAGCCCTCAAAGGCTTCAACTACAAGTCGGTCATGCTGACTCGACTGCAAGCTCCATATAAGCTCCACTAGGCATACACCTTCGATCGGCCGAGGCCGATTCATGAGCTTACACCTTCGATCGGCCAAGGCCGATTCATGAGCTTACACCTTTGATCGGCCTAGCCCGATTCACAAGTTAACACCTTCTATCGGCCTAGCCCGATTCACAAGCATACACCTTTGATCGGCCGAGACCGATTTATAGATTTACACATTCAATCGGCCCAGACCGATTGAAGGACTTATGACAGACTGTCCCCTGCCCACAAGATTTGTGTCAGTCAGATTTCTGCCTAACAAGAGTCTTCTTACTATTCTGATGCTGTTCCCCATGCACATTAGTGCCAGGCCATGGCCGATGAACTCAGTGCTCTTTCTCATAATCATACTTAGGATCTTGATCCATGTCTTCCTCATAGGAAGCCCATTGGCTGTAAATGTGTTTACAAGATCAATCATCATGTCGATGGTTCAATAGAATAATATACAAAGCCCATCTCGTTACCAAAAGCTTCACTCAACGAAAAGGGTTTGATTACCATGACACTTTTTTCCCGGTGGCCAAGCAAGTTACTATTCGGGCTTTCTTATCTGTTGTTGCCATACGTGATTGGACTCTTCATCAGATGGACGTTCATAATGCCTTCCTTCATGGGGATCTTCATGAAGAAATTTATATGGATCTTCCTTTCGGACTACGTAGACAAGGGGAGAATCTGGTATGTCGTATAAGCAAGTCCTTGTATGGTTTAAAACAAGTATTCCGCCAATGGAATGCAAAATTCATAGAGGCTCTAATGAACATGGGCTTCACTTAGTCCAAGCATGACTACACTCTCTTCACATGGTACAAAAGTACTACCTTCATTGCTCTTATTATTTATGTTGATGATATGCTAATCACTGAGAATAATAAGGATGACATTTGTACTCTTAAAGAGCATCTCAATAGACATTTTCGTATAAAAGATCTAGGGGAGCCAAAGTACTTCTTAGGCATTAAGATTGCACAATCCCCAGCATGTATTTCTTTGAGTCAAAGAAAGTATGTTTTAGAGCTTGTGTCCGACTCTGGTTTATCAGCATGCAAGCCTAGCATCATTCCTGTGGAACAGAACGCAAAACTTACATCCCAACACTATGATCATGAGACAACCTCTTCATAAAATGATCCTCTGTTAAACGACCCATCCCACTATCAGAGACTCATGGGAAGACTTATTTATGTCACCATGACAAGACCCGACATGAGCTACGTCGTTCACATATTGAGTTAGTTCATGCATGGGCCAAAATAATATCATATGGACGCAGCGATCAAGACACTTAAGTATTTAAAGGGATGTCTTGGACTATGACTCCTTTTACCATGAGGTGAGAATTTGGACATCACAGCATATTGTGATTCAGATTAGGGTACATGTCCTATGACTAGAAAGTCTCTTACGAGATTCTGCATTAAATTTGGAGGGTCTCTTATATCGTGGAAAACGAAAAGGCAGTCAACAATATCGCTTTCCTCAGCTGAAGCGGAATATAGAGTCATGGCAAAAACAACTTGTGAAATGTCTAGATCCTTGGATTATTGAAAGATTTAGGAGTGCAAACAGGGAAATCAATCACTTTATACTGTGATAATAAAGCTACCAATGATATCGCAACAAATCCAGTTTTCCATGAAAGAACCAAGTATATAGAGATTGACTGTCATTTCATCAGGGAAAAGATTAAGGAAAGGATTATCAAGACCATGCACATACGGACCTCGGAACAACCAGCATATATTTTCACGAAGCCTTTATGTAGTCGTCAGCATTCTTATTTACTACACAAGCTTGGGGCTTTCGACATCTACAAACCACCAGCTTGAGGGGGAGTGATGAAATATGGAATGCTGAAGATATTCATGCTGGAATCAAGTAATTATTGATTTGCATTTATTTGATTGATTACTGTTTACTGTAATATTTTGTTATTAAGTCCTTATTATATTTCCTTTACTATATTATTTCATTGCCTTTATTATATTCAAAGCCACTATATAAATTGGCTGATGTACTCATTACAATACATGAAATATATACAAAATACAATCTTCTATTCTCTTTCTTTTCTTGACATT